CCAAGTATCACTAATAATAAATAATAATTATTACTAATATTATTATAAAAAAAATAAATAAATTTAAATTTATTTAAATTAAAATTTACTTACCCAATAAGATTAATAATATGTGCACAACAAGGTGCATGAACTAACTGCGGCATAAATAGTTTTAATACTTCACGATAACATTTTTTCATGTATGCCGCTGAATCAGAAACAAACAATCTTGGCAAAGTATAAGCAATATTATATTTAACCAAAAGAGTTAATAAAACTTCTCCAACTATTGAATTATTAACATGATCTAAAAAATCAACAGAAATTAATTTGGTATTTTGACAAAAAATAAAAAGTGTATTTACAATGCTACGTGAGCATTCATCCATAGTTTCATCCATTATTATTGCTACAGATTTTTGATTAAAAAAATCTTGGAGTAAAGAAAAATGATTATTAAATACATGAGGTAAGTAAAGTTGACATAGTGTAGAGGCTTGGGGAATTGCACCACCTTCTTTAAGGTGTTTTTTAAAAAAGAGAAGTAAACTGTTTATTTTTTTAAGAGGAATATTTGCTAAAGAAAAGGCTTCAATTAAATCCTCTATAACTTCTTTTTTTGATTCAGATGCAATTGCCATAGTAGCAAGTGTAACTTGCTTTTTTAATTGTTCTTTATTTTCATAGATTTGTTTATTTTTTATATGTCCTTTCGAATTACAATGTCCGTCAATAGTAGATTTAATTTTCACTCAACAGACAAGTCACAATAATTACAAAACAGAATTCCTCTATCTTCCCTAAAAACACCTGGATATTCATTTAGACGAGTAGTAATAGAAATTTTTTTTTTTCGCGTTGTCATTATAGTCAAGAAAAAAAAAAAAGTATAATTAAAAAAAAAAAAACAAAATCGATATCAATTTGGTTTAAAAAAAAATGCAATGTAAGAATATTTTTCTCTTTATTAAGCTGATTGCTAATAAAAATGTAAAAGATTGCACAATCACGAATCGAATTATAATTATTAAAAGCACGTAAAAATTTTAATATCAAAATTGCCCTGCTTACAATTAGGAAATAACTTTCAAAAAATCAAGAAATTATTGCAAAAATTAGTACCGATTGATATATTTGAATAACGAGTAATTTAAGGAATACCCATTTTAGAGAAGATTAAAGTTTGAAATAACAGGTAATTTAAGGAATACTTATTTTACGGTCGTGAACCCTTAGATTTAAGTGTATTCTAAACTTTTTTATCTCACGCATAAGCCACAAACAATAAAACGTACTGTATATTTGGGCTATCACAAATTTCTGTGAAAAACTTTCTATTTTTGAAATTCTGTGCCACTGTGATAACCAGAGTTAATTTCTGTGGTTAGCTGTTTTTAAGGAAAATTCTGCTGTTTTCTGTGATCGCAGTAAATCATCGGCCCTGCGCCCGAGGAATGATCTTGTCATAAGACATCTTCATGCGATAACGATAAGTATTGATTTTAAATAATGCATACATAAGTCATGTGTCATTGACTTTATTAACGATAATCTAATGTTAGAGCACAATTACGTAAAATAAATGATTCATTTTCATTTGAATATCGTAAAGTTTTCGAATTCTATTAAAATAAGTTCAATAATCTCATCGTCACGATTATTACAACTTCGTAATATGTCGCACTCAAAAAACAACAGTGGCCCTATTAAAGTGGCAGAAAGAGTTGCACACTTTAAACAAGACGGTAAGAAGCAGAATTATAGAATATGTATCTTTAAAAGAATTCGGTCAAAATTTAATTGCTTCCCTCTATTTCGGCAATTATATTTGCTCGAACAACAGTGTGAAATTCTTCCAATATTTTAATTCAAACTATAAATTTTATTTTTACAATCATATAAAGTATGGTCCATTTTTACACCATTGGCTGCCCAACTCAAAGCTGTGAATTTAGGGCAAGGTTTTATGAAGTAAGTTTTAAATTTTCTGATTTGATATATTTTTCATGATTTAAAACTCATTTTTAATATATGTGTATCTATACAAGTTTTCCGCCTCCAGATTTCGTTAGAAAAGCTGCAATAACTGCTATTAACACTGATGATTGCAATCAATATAGGTAGTTTTGGTTTGTTTTTTTTTTGAATTTTGTCGTGTTATATCAAATTGTTCTTTAAATAATCATTATATATATTTTTTATTAGCCATCCTAAAGGTAGATTGCGCACGCGAGAAGCTTTGGCAAAGTCATATAGTCCTTTATTTAATCGAACGTTGGATCCAGAGACTGAAGTTATTACTTCTGCTGGTGCCAATGAAGGTTCATATTTATTGATACATTATATAATATCATTTTATAATAAATAATTAATTGCTTAAATTTTATTTATATATCCTATAATTCAGGATTATATGCTATTTTTGCCGGTTTTTTGGATGATGGAGATGAAGTTATATTGATTGAACCTTTTTTTGACCAATACATTGTAAGTGTAAAATTCACAATATTCATTTACTTTAATGAAAATAATATTCAATAAATATTGGAAATTAAGGCTAACATCACAATGAATGGTGGTGTGCCCGTGTACGTACCATTACGACCACATGGCGATACAAATAAAATCATGTCTTCTCGAGATTGGAAATTGGATATTAATGAATTAAGATCAAAAATTACACCGAGATCTAAAATACTTGTATTTAATACTCCTCATAACCCTGTTGGTAAAGTATTCTCTAAAGAAGAAATGTTAGAAATTGCACAAGTGGTAAAAGAACATAACTTGTTACTTGTTAGTGATGAAGTAGTAAGTTATTAAATTTTGTCAAATTATTCCTAAACAACAAATATTTTGTTTGACTCTAATTACTTACCTTCAAAATTCTTTAAAAGTATGACCGCCTTTATTATAAACCTGATGTTCATGAACGCATAGCGAATTTGCCGGGATTATGGGAACGCACCATTACTGTTGGAAGTGGTGGTAAAACTTTTGGTACAACCGGATGGCGTGTCGGGTGGTCGATAGGTCCTAAAAATTTAATAAAAACTGTACTTGCAGCGCAGACTAGAATAGTTTTCTGTGTCAATTCACCACTTCAAGTATTTATTTATTCATATAATCATTTATAATGGGAGCTTTACGACGATTATTGATGTCATTAATTAATCTTTTAAATGTATTTATCGAATAGGAAGCCATAGCGATATCAATTGAAGAAGCTGATACACATGATTACTATGAAGAGAACATCGTGTTATATGAACAAAGGCGCGAAAAATTATGTAAAGCATTATCAGATGCAGGACTTCCATACACAATTCCTCAAGGTTCTTATTTTATTTTGGCTAATACGAAACGGATTAATATACCGGTAATTTTATTTTTGATAACTTGGTTATAAATAGCACTATTGATAAGTATTAACATTATCTTTAAAAATCACAGGAAAATTATGAATACCCTGAAGTTCTAAACGGTCGGCCAAGAGATTTTAAAGTATGTTATTGGATGGCAAAAGAAATTGGTGTAGTAGCAATTCCACCCAGTGAATTTTATAGCGAAGAGAATAGACATCTTGGAGAGGATTATGCACGATTTGCGTTTTGTAAAACAGATGAAACACTAGAAGCAGCTGCGAAAGCTTTATTGAAATTGAAGAAATACATTAATGAATAAAACATGATATTAACAATACAATGAAAATAATTTTTTTTTTTTTTTTTTTTTTTAGTATATAATTTATATAAGAAAAAAAGATATTCATCTATTCTGTACAAATAATTTTGTGAAAAAAATATTTTATGGATAAATAACTTATTAACCAAAAAATCTAATTAGAAAGATTAACTAACACTCGACATCATAAATAAAGCTAATTATCGAGGATTTTGGTTTTGATAATGAGAGTTAATATCCGAATCATTATTCATTGAAAGATGTAGGGGACCTTTTGCCATTTTGCATAGAACGAGCACGTCGAGCAATTACAGCTTCTCGTAATACGTCTAATACTTTGGTTGTGGTTTCCCAACCAATACACGCGTCTGTGATTGATTGGCCATAAACAAGCCCTGATGGCCCTTCCATGGGAAGATCTTGGCGACCTGAATATTTCAAAAAGAAAATTTTTATGAGATAATGAAGAGAAATCCCAATGTTTTTTTTTTTTTTTTTAGGAAATACATACCTTCTTTTAAGTGACTTTCGAGCATAATACCGACGATGTTGTTTCCAGATTGTCCTTTGAGTTGTTCAGCCTTAAAAATAAGGATAAATTTTTATAATTAAATAAATGTAACGATTAATAAAGATTGAAGATTGTTAAATATACATACAATATCGTTGATAACATCAACTTGTCGACTGAAAACTTTTTGGCTATTTCCATGACTACAATCAATCATAATACGAGGAGGTAATCTTGCAGCCTCTAATTTTTTTGCAGCATCTAGAACATGTTCGGCCGAATAATTTGGACCTTTTGCGCCGCCTCTTAGGATGATATGGCAACTATCATTACCCTAATAATTTATTGAAATTGTTTTAGAGAACATAATAAAGAAATTCAGAAGAAAGTAACATGAAGTATGTATATTTACTTCTGTAGCTACGATGGCACTCAAGCCTTGTTTTGTGACAGAAAGGAAGTGATGTTTGGAACTTGCTGACTTTATGGCATCAATAGCAATACCTATGTTTCCATCGGTTCCTGCAGACATTGAATAAAACAGAATATTAATAAGATTGATATTAAGTGGAAATTTGAAAAACATATTTATAATATTTACCATTCTTAAAACCAACAGGAACCGATAAACCTGAAGCCAATTCACGGTGAACCTGCGATTCAGTTGTCCTGGCACCGATAGCACCTAACGATGAAAATGACGACACATTTTACGTTTAATAAATTAAAAAATAAATTAAAAACAAAAGTACGGAAAAAAAGTGGTATACCCCAAGAAACTAAATCAGCAATGTATTGTGGAGTAATCGTATCAAGAAATTCACTGCCGCATGGAAGACCTAATTCGTTCTATATATAGAAAAGCTTGTTAGTCAAAATAATCGAGCTTCAATTACATGTAAAAATTAATATGAAAAAATGCATACTATTTCCATCAAGAGATTACGTGAAATACGCAATCCTTTGTTGATTTGGAAGCTGTTGATTTGTTATAAAATGGAATTGAAATATATGTTAAATATTTTCTCAGATAAATATTTAACATTAATAAAATTACGAACCTATTATTTAGGAAAGGATCATTGATCAATCCTTTCCAACCCACTGTCGTTCTTGGCTTTTCAAAATACACACGCATAATAATCATAAGTTCATTAGATGCTTCGGTAGCATAAGTTTTTAATTTCTCAGCTGTGATAGAAGATATAAATGAGTCGACTTGATAGAAGAACTGATAGACGAAACTGAAGTAAGATAAAATTATTAAAGTACCATATTCAATCGCGGCTCGAACATCGTGGACCGAGCAAGGGCCAACGATAACTAGTAATCTGTCGTCCAGACCCTTTATTATTGCCTCTGCACTCGAGCGGCCAAGTATGACGGTTTGTGCTGCCTTCAAAGTTAAAGGTAAGTCCTCCATTAGAATTTGAGGAGGTATGAGAGGCTTAATTTGTTTAATACGTTTATCGTCGAGTTCATTGAGAGCTAAAGGGAACGAAGAAAATTTAACAAACTGAACAAATTTGAATATGTCTTTTAAAAAATTAATTTATACCATTACCATCACGAACAAACATTTTATCCGACATTTATTTGATTTTTATTTTTTATTAATTTATAATTTAATAATAATTTTTTTTTTATAGTATTTAATTTTTCAGTGAGAGGAATAAGATTTTGTTTGACGAAAAAAAATCTGGCACAACCAGTTTATATATCTGTGTAAATGCTGGAATACGGTTATCAATATTTATATTTATGTGACTTATCGTGACTCATCAGGCTCTGCCATTAAAACAGCCAGTTCGAAGCCATCAACTCTACAATAACTATAAATAAGCAAAATATACTGTTGACTATGAATAGCTCTTTGCATGTTTTAACGAACTTGGATAAACATTGTTATCGATATAGATAAGCCCTTTAGAATAATGTAGTAATAGATAAAAATATGAATTTTGCCCATAATAGCTTTATTCAAATACGTTCTTCTTACAATTCAAAATTGCTGAATAGAGATATAATTTAAAATTGCTGAACAGAGAACGTAATTTTATCTCTCATGTACGTACATACGATAAGGTTGCTATTATTATCTAAATAGGAACAGTTATTTAAAATCTAATTGAATGCAAGATATCGATATTCTCAATGAAATATTCAAATTTAGAAATTTAATTCATTTTGTCAATTGACAATGGCATACGTATAAGATATTTACGTAGAAATTACTTGTCATTAATTTTAGATTGATTGAATTTTACTTAATAAAATATCGAGAATTTTTTTAAAAAAAAGAAAATTTACTGAGTTAAGCAAACGACAAAGGCTTTAAACTTAAATCTTATAAATAACCAAGTAACAAAGTAACGGCAAATTTCTAAAAAAAAAAAAAAAATTCATCGCAAAAAATATATATAGTATATTATTTTTAATAACTTTATGACCATATATATATAACGATAATGATAATCAGTAATCAACTAAGATCGAAAAACGACATAAATCCAGTCCGGAGCATAGCTATATTGCCTGCGTCTAATTAACTGACGACGCACATTAGAATTATGCATTAGGAGAAATTAGTCAAGAAATCAATCTATATACTATTGATTGAATTAAACAGGGTGGCATAAAATTTTATTTACCAACCCAGTGGAAGGCCAACAAATAGTGCAACAGTAAATATTTACGAATTTATTTTCAATTACACTTATAATTTCTGTAATTACATAACGGTAAAGGCAGTTATCTCTACAGTAGTACAGTACTCTAATCAATAATCCAAATGTAATTTTTCAAACTTTCAACAAAAATTCGGAATTTCAAAACCAAATTGGTTTAAAAATTGGTCCCTTATTTGAAAATTCAGATTCATAGTTGTATAAAGTCTGATACGTACCCGTATTGTCGCGAAATAACGCTATTAAAAAGCTAAATATACTGGTAGATAGCGATAGCTGATAAGGTATTTTAAGTCAAGGCCATTCGAATTGAAAAATTAAGTGCGAAAATTTTTTAATTGATTAATGTTAGCTTCAAATTTCAGTTATACATCCCGAATTTTTTTTAATACTACAGTATATACGTTAAATTAAAATTAAAATTTGCGTTAGATCAAAATTTAAATACATACAGTAGGGGTTTCAAAGTTAATATCAGAAAATCTTATTTTATTTTTCTGATTTATAATTCAACATAGTAAAAATGCTATTGAAAAAATCCTATTTATTTTCGAAATGCGTCACTTATTTGTTAATTTTGAAACCCTCCAGTATTGTTTCACTAAAGTTAGTGATCCAAATCGTTAGTTGAAAAACCAACTAGTTGACAACTAGTTGACTAATCGATTGGAAATTTTTTAACCAACTAATCGTTGGTTAATTATCTACGTACATAATAAATTTTAAGGTGTAGAATTTTTTAGCCAATCAGAATGGTTTGGAATGATACAGAAAACACGTGATTATTTATTATGCCAATCAAATTTATTGAAAATATGTGACTATTAGTTGCAGCGAATCAACTCGGAACACTACTGCACTAAGTTAGAGTGAAAGTTTATGATAGTTAAAGTAGATATTAATCTGACAAAGATATTAATTTGATGCAAACTTGTGTTTCAATTAATATCTTGTCAGATTAATACCTACTTTAATAGACTTTACCTAACTTTAATGAATATTTAAATTTTGATCTAACGCAAATCTTAATTTGACATACTGTAGTTAATATTATTAGTCGAATTTGTTTAAGCTATATAGAAATATTTTGACTTTCGACATTTAGCGTGTCAAGGATTGAACCCGTATCCAGGTTACTCGTGGGTAGGTCATGTAACTGGATAAAGGGGATAAAAAAAAGTAACCAATCAAATATATAAACCGGGCTTATGTGCTTGTATCACGTAACAGTGCCACAAAAGAGGTTATATTGTATCTAATTTTCCCGATGCCAAATGGCCAGGTGCCCCTCTAGCAGAATCGGACCTCTGCTCCGATCCGCAATAACATTAGAAATTCTCATTTTTGTCATTTTTGATATAAAGAGAACGCGTCCTATAAGTAAAATTTCGGTCTGCACATTTTTTTTTAGATGCTGACACTTTGCGTTGTTGTCATTACACAAAGATCTTACGATTTTATTGGTTCCAAACCCATTTGGAGGGTTCTTAAGTTACCACTGACCGCGGTAACTTACCACGATAAGTTACAACACTGCCCGCGGGTGACATGGTACCTACTCGGTTTGGTTCAATCGCTATCGCTATTCAAGTTTTATATTTAACTGTGAACTTTAATTACTTCCTTATTTTGGTTAAACCATTTCATGCGTAGATTACTGGATTATGCTCTAACGCCTGATTATGCAGATCCTCCTTCGCAGTGTTGTACATGGGACTGGGGCGTATCCAAACTGTCTGGGGCAATTGTTAGCGAGACTGACCAAGGGACGATCTACCAACATTACGTTAAAAGCAAGGGGACATTGTCCTAATTACAAGTGTTGGTTAATACAGTATTATAGTAGCCAGGATATAGTATGTTGGATACTTTATGACATGATAAGCTTGCTGCCGGGCCAAAGAAGTTTACGTTGATGCCCTGCAAAATCGATGGGACAACTTCACAAGATGACAATGCGTCACGGTCATGTTAATTGATGATCTATGATTTTCCTCGTCACCCCTGATCTAATAATCGCGTATAAATTTACACATTTTAACATTACTTATTGAAAACTTTACAGAACTCACGAAAATGATCCCTCATAACTATCGGCTGAACTTAATTGAACTTAATAAAGGTCGGTACACAACGAAACAAATATGTTTTCTATTTCTTGAAATATCAACGGACTTTTCTTTTTCATGTTGAGATGAAGTATGAAAAAAATAGGGCAAAAAGAAATAAACACTGTTGGAAGGTATGGTAACAGCCAGGTATACTTTACAAATTATCGCGTGAACTTTGTTTTTTGTTGCTAATATCATATTTATATTAATTATAAGGTGGCTATACATTGCCGTTAGAATCTCCTACTGTTCTATGTCAAGATGCTTTTGTCGCCTCAGCACAAGGTTTTAAAAATTATACTGGGTTTGGGTCAAATCTTGATAAACAGAATTCCAATAGAGTCAAAATCCCGACAAAGTTAGCCGGGATTAGCCAATTTTTTAGGAATTTCGACCCTGTCGGGATTCTTATTTTCGGGATTTTGACCCAAACCCAAACCCATTATACTGATACTGTATAAAGACGCTTACATGTCAGGACATTTTTAAACATACAGAATATATGTTGTGCGTCAAATCAAAATTTAAATACTGGGTTTTATTAGGGTTAGGGTGAAATCCTATGTTAGGGTATGTTTCGTTAATCTTATTTACCATGAGTTTGTAATTTCATTAATACTTCGAATCAAAAAAATAGAGGTTAGCCTTTATGTTAATAGATTCAAAATGTTATGCAAAAATGTTAAACACCTCCGCAGTAAATAAAATATTTTTTTCTTACGCATTTGAAACCTAATAACACTCATTATCCATATCTCATAATGTATGTTGTTCTAGTATGATAAAGAATATCAGCTTTAAACCAGAATTTATTTCCAATACAAATTGTACGCCAATATGTTCTTAGTGGTGATAGTATTCCATGCCTTGATCTGGATACCTTAATCTTAAAGCAACACACACAAATTGATATTTTCTTGAACAGCAACGTCACAATTAACCCTTTAACATTCCGATGCAAATTCGCATTTTCACGAAGCCAAGACCTACAAACCTACAAAGAAAGAGAGTTAGTTCTCGAAAAAAAAATAATAATTCAAGAGGAGAAAACAGGTCTTGGTATTACTGTATTAGCATTAAAGTCAAATCACCATTCCATGTCTAATTCGCGTTACAACTAAACCAGACCTACAGAAAAAAAAAGTTAATCTTGGTGTTTAAATAAATAATTCAAATTTTAACTCGTTAAAACGTAAAGAATTGCGAAATTGAAATGTGCTAAAACCGTCAGTGTTCATTTCAATTTAACGTTAAAAGCTACCTTGGCCTTAGTGCATTCCCAAACTGGTTTATTGATGTTGATGCGTCATTTTGTGTCACTAACGCTAACACCTATTAAAAACTGATTTCAAATTTAAAAACATAGCGACAGATTTTTTTCTTTGACAATGACAATTCCGATAATAGATTTTTCATTATTTGAAGAAGATTCATCAAATTGTTCAAAACAAATTAAATCAGCAAGTGAATCTATTGGATTTTTTTTCTTGAAAAATCATGGAATTGAACGTGAAATCATTGATGATATGTTTAAAAATGTATTATCGTTATATCATTCAAACTTTAAAATTTTGATTGATATGTAATTTTTATCATTTATTTAAAAGACCCAAGAATATTTTAATCTTTCACTTGAAGAGAAATCCAAATATAGAATAACAAAAGAAAAAAACAAAGGATACGCTGCTATGCATCAAGAGACACTTGATCCAGATAATCAAACAAGTGGGGGGGATTTCAAAGAGTATTGTCTATATTTTTTAAGTTATAAAAATTTTTGTATTTCATTGCTTTCTCACATTGATTCTCTATGCATATTATTTTATGAAAAGAACATTTAATTTTGGAAAGATTCTTGATGGAAAACCAACTCAAGAACTTCCTTTATTATTTGAAAAAAATTTGATTGTATTGGAATCTTTTATTAAGGTAAATGAATATTGTTAAATTCTATTTGCGTCTTCTCATAATAATGTACTTTATTATTTCTACTTTAATAGTCTTGTCATAGATTATGTGTGAAAGTACTACAAGCATTTGCCATTGCACTTGAAATTAGTGAAACTGAAGGAGGAAAGTATTGGTTTGAGAAAAGACATAGATATGAAGAAAAGTCAGGGGATATTTTAAGAATACTTCATTATCCTGCCATGAATAAAGTTAATTCTGAAGATATCCGTGCCGGAAGGTAACCTTTTGAATTAATATTCATTCTAAATTCTATAGATAACCTTTTTTTTTTTTTTGTCATGTAGCCATTCAGACTATGGTTCTTTAACTATTCTTTTTCAAAAAGATATTGCGGGCCTTGAAGTTCTATCTGCAGATATGAATTGGGTATCTGTCCCTGTTATTCCAGATTGTGTACTAATTAATATAGGCGATCTGTTGGAATTTTGGACTCAAGGTTTATTCAAATCCACTAAGCATCGAGTTGTCTTTCGCAAAGAAACTTTAAATCAAGATAGATATAGTATTGCTTATTTTTGTCATGCTGAAGACGACGTAGGATTAGACCCAATTCCTAGTCGATTCATAATTGCAGATGAGAAAGGTGGCAAGAGCATGACTGCTGGTGAGCACTTAAAAGAGAGATTGGAGAGAACTTATAAATATTAATATTTATTATATATAATTTAAAGCGAAGGCTCCTAGAATTTGATAATTTATTATGTATAATTTATAAATTTTGCGTCCTGTATATACGTGTCGAAACCTGTTCTTATCTAATCGCCCGGTATTTCACAATGAAAATAATCGTGTAACCTAAAAATAAATAACAAGCCATGCCTTTTTTGTCACACATCAATGTTTGTAAAGTTATGCCATCCGCAACAAGCACTTGGTCGTTAAATAGAAATTATGGTGTAGTTATAGATGCTGGAAGCTCTGGCTCAAGAATTCAAATATATTCTTGGAAAGAGCATGACTTCGTAAGAAAGGGTAAGGATCCAAAGGATCTCCATATCTTACCTACTATTGAACACGGAGATGAATTTGGAGTAAAATGGCAAAAAAAAGTCGAACCAGGTAAAGTAGAGCTCAGATCTCTACCTTTTTCAATTTTTTTATAAAAGGCTAAAAGTGCTGAAGGTTACTTCACCTAGCTGAAAACACGATACTTCCAAGGAAAGTTGTATTCAAACGCTAGGCTAATACTCGAATCAATTCCATAGGAATATCTTCGTTCGCTTTGAATCCAACTGAAGTAGGCGAAAAACATTTGAAAGAGTTAATAGATTTTGCATTAAGAATTGTCCCATCAGATGAAATTTCTAATACACCAATATATTTACTCGCTACTGCTGGAATGCGTTTATTGCCTCTTCATCAGCAAACAGCTATACTTCAAAGTGCGTGCGATTATATAATGTTTCAAAATCGATTCAAAATGATGGAAAAGTGTTCAGACCATGTTCAGGTCATCTCAGGAGAAAAGGAGGGTATATATGGTTGGATTGCTGTAAATTATTTGATGGGAGGATTTGAAATAGACAAAGGTGACCATAAAGTTATCAATTCACGACAAACACAACAATCCTATCATAATAATTCTAGTTCAACTAAACATATGACTACTTTTGGTTTCCTGGATATGGGTGGAGCTAGCACACAAATTGCTTTTGAGCCTAATTTGGAAGAATCAAAAAAACACGCAAATGATTTGACTACAGTCCTTCTTTGGACTTTGGATGGTCAACAAATGGAATATAAGGTATTTGTGACCACATTTTTGGGTTATGGAACAAATGAAGCACGCCGTCGTTATATTGAAGATCGTATTAAAGATTATACTTCCACCCACGAGAAAATTGCAAATCCAGATAGTTCACGTGAACAACCTAACGTTTTGATAAAAGATCCTTGTTTGCCAATTGATCTTCTCCTTACCGATACGACTTTACCACCTCCACTATATACTCTTCAGGGAACTGGAAATTTTGATCATTGTTTAAATTATACTTATTCGTTACTAAACAAATCCGTTGTATGTACCGACGAACCTTGTTTGTTTAATGGTGTTCATACTCCAAATATTGATTTCACCGTTAATCACTTCATTGGAATATCGGAATATTGGTACACCTCTCATGATATTTTTGATATAGGTGGTAAATGGGATTATAAAAACTTTGAAGCAAAAGCCACTGATTATTGTTCGAGCAATTGGGATAAAATCTTGAGTAATTACCATAAAAGTGGATCTTTGTCTGATTTACCTCGCTTAGAAATGCAATGTTTCAAATCCGCGTGGTTAGCAAATGTACTACATAATGGAATTGGTATTCCAAAATCTGAAAGTACTATAGGAGAGACACCTCTTTTTCAAAGCATTGATGTTATAGATAATATGCAAGTTAGTTGGACATTGGGTAAAATGGTTTTAGAAGCTTCAAGCATGATACCTTTGATATTCGATGCACGTCCAAAACCTCCACCAAATCCTCAACATCACGGGATATTCGGTTATTATAATTTCATGATAGAATGGATTATTGGAATTTCATTAATAATACTATTAATTCTGATATGGTATATGTGTTTACGCAAAAATGCATCAGTAACAAGAAGACGACCTGACTCTGGGTTTATATATTCACGCTTTTTATCATTAATTTGGTGGGGTGCAAAAGATGGTGGTCCGGATTACGGGAGACTGGAAGGTGGGCAGCAATACTCATCACCTGTCGCATTTTCTCGGAAAGTAATAAACTTTTTTTCCAGGAGTATTAAATATATTCGATGGAAATTTTTTCAGTTTAATTCACCATTCAGACGAGTTTTCTCGAGAAAAAATGCGAATTCTAGTGAAGATATATCATTAGTTCGAGTGGTTGATAATGAAGAAATGATGCATATTCATTCGTCACCTACAATCGAACCTTCAAATCTGGTAATTGGTGTTCAAGATATTCCTGTCATCACACCTATTGATAAAGGATCACCAACCGGGAAAAAGCGAGTTAGCGGCGATAGTGCCATAGAATGTGGGCCATGTGATTTTACTCACGCTTTTTCCACTCCTATCAATTTATCCTTAACTGGTCTGCAACCACGTAACAATAGCATGACCAACCTTGGAAAATCCAAAGAACGTACAGTTGTTAATGTTAGCAGTATTAATGGACAATCAGGATCCAACGGTGGACATCTTAATGACAACAGTAATGGAATAACTGTTTCTAATACGCCAAGTAATTTATTAGCTTACAAATCAAGATCTACAACATCACTCAGTTGGATGGATGGAGATAATCATATGAATGATGGATTGGTTGAATATGAAGCAACAGACTCTCCAGGAGCTGTAACATCTTCTAAACAAAATTTAACTTCATCTATAAGCACAACGGAACCAGCAAAATGGTATTCCACGTCAATGTCAGCTAGATCATACAGTCTTCCAGTAACATCATCACGTAATAATAATATTAAAAATAATAGTAATTAGTAGAGTTTTATGTAATAAGTTTTTTGTACTGTATTCCGAGCCAAATAGATTAAAATGTTTTTATTTAATAATCAAATAAGTTGAAAACCTAAATTTTGTATAAATTTATACGTAAAAATTAGTTAAAAATTTAATTTAATTAAAAGAATATATATAAATTTTTGGGTTTTAAAAAGTTTAATAAATTTTATTTTAAAATTTTGTAAAATTAAACTAAAAAATTAATTTATTTTGAACAATTATCGTTATAAAAAAATTAATTTTTCATTGAACAAATTTTAATTAAAATTATTAAAATAATAAGGACATTATTTTTTGGTGCACCCTTTGCTATAATTTTGCTATAACTCAAAATTTTACTAGGGTAACCCTGTTGCGTAACTAATGAAAAATGATCCTCTCACAATTTTACACTAAGCCCAACCCTAATACTAACCCTAACCTAACCTAACCTAACCCAACCCTAACCTAACCCTAACTATTCTTAGGTTCAAATTTTTCATAGGGGGGCACACGGTGCACCCTGCACCAAATAAATATTTTC